TGTCAACAGGGAGCAAAGAAAGAATGGGATCACACTTTGCAGAACCATCAAAATAAAATTGCACCACACCAGGATATAACAATTCATAAATATTTAGTAGAGAAATTGACGCTTAACTTAAGCCTTGATACCAGGCTAAACCCCCCCCCCCCCAAACCGGAAACTAACACACCAAAACAACCCGCCGGCACTACTCTCCTCGCCGGAAAAATGCAAAATAAGTACAAAACAACAAATAACGAAGCAAACCAAACAAAACATAACGGTGAATCAGAATACCTGGAAGGGACCCGGAAGAACCACCCTTCTGACGCTTGGAACGCTTGTTTGTAGAACCCGCCATGAAGACTGTTTGGACAGCACGGGCAGAGCGGAACCGGAGACGGCGCTTCCCTAGAGTGACTGGACGGAGAAAAAAGGAACGACAAAGCAGCACGAATGGAACCTAACGAGTCTACCGGAGAAGAAAACAACACACGCAACCAAGAAGAAACGAAGAGACGGCAAAAAGATTGTTAAAAATCTTGATAGCTGATTTGAGACCATAATTATCTCTACACAAGCCCATAAAATCGGCTAAAACATTAATATAGCCTAATAAAGATATCAATAAAAAGACAGCAATGCCCTAACTCCAAAAAACTCAGCGCACGTGGCCTTATAAATCAGCAAATCTGGAGCGTCAAAAAATATAAATAAACGAACAAGATCGAGTCTCACGATCTCACCTGCCAAAGGTGACCTCACCGGATCCAATATATATATATATATATATATATATATATATATATATATATATATATGTGTGTGTGTGTGTGTGTGTGTGTGTGTGTGTGTGTGTGTGTGTGTGTGTGTGCACGCGCTCACATGAGGAAAATAATATATAGAGGACTATGAGGACAAATCATATCCATCCAATCCTAGAGATGGTTGAGATCTTTTCCATATAGCAGTATGATTCACGCCCAAAATAATTAACAGAGGGCAAATAAGACATTTGAGATCAATTATAATTATGGAAGGATTCTAATTAACATACATAGGATTTAAGGAGTATAATTATGGTAGAGAATCATATCCAAGGAACATGACTTGAAAAGACACTGTGTAAATGTGAGGCAATGAGGCTGTGCATACGGTGTATAATAATTGACGAAGCCATGATTCAGGATATCAAATCGTGTAGGGTACTGAGTTATCAAATCGTGAGCCCTGCCTTTGAAACTCGTGTGCCATGATTCAAGATATCGTGTGCATCTTGATATTATGTTGTGTGCCACAACAGAAAAACAAGAACCACATAACTTTGCACACACAATAGGACAGTTTTTTAATGAAATATATAAATGGTGATTATTAGTACTTAAACAAAGTACACTAAAGAAGATATGTTCGAGTGAACAGGTGATTTCAGTAATTAATATATGCTTCACTGATAATCTTTTATTGCATCATATTTCTTTAAATCTCGTGTGCCATTTGTGAAGAAATCGTGTGCATCTTCATATTATGTCATGTGCCATAGTAAGAAAACAGGAACCACGCAACTGATGTATAATACTGTCCGAAAAATGGGAATCCTTCACAATAAAGCAATTTTTATGAAATTCAAAATATACATCGTTTTCGTTAGTAAACTGATGTATAGATAACAAAGGAATTGACAGTTTTGGCACAATTAAGACATTAGATAGAGATAACAATTTAGACCGGGAAGAAATAGATGCATGTCCAACACGTGAAATTGTCAAACCTGTGCCATTACCAACTCTCAGGACGTCACCACCAGAGTATTCATCAGATTGACTCAGCATGGTTGCATCTGGTGTTGCATGGGCTGAAGCTCCTGTGTCCAGGAACCAGGACTGCGTTGCCGTGGATGTTGTCGCGTCGTCACCAACCATGATGAGATTGGCCTGCGCCGGAGGTTGTGTTGTATACCTCTTGAAGCAGTAGACGGCAGTGTGGCAGTGTGATCGGCAAATTTGGCAGCGCGGAACACCACCCCGTCCGCGTCCTGAACCGCCACCACGACCCCGTCCCTGCCGACCTTGTCCAGAACCATCGCGGGAATTGCCGGAGCCGCCGCTACCAGGCTGTTGCCGGTCCTGTCCATGTCCAGCATACATGGCAGTCGGAGAACCAGCCGTGATTCCGTTATTCGTCGCCGGAAAATCATCCGAGAATATGAACTCTTGTGCCTACAAATAATCTGAGAGCTGCGGTATAGACACTGGAGTACCTGTGACTGTGAGAGAAGCGGTCATTGCCCGAAATTCAGGACGTAGCCCCTGGAATACGTACATGTTTTGCTCGTCGAGGGAGAGGGGACGTCCGGCCAGCGCTAGTGCTTCAACAATGAGCTGTGCACGGCCAAGAAACTCCGCCGGTGTGCTGTTGCCTTGACGGAGGGTCTGAAATTGGCCGAGGAGGCTCAGACATCGCGCTCGGGTGGACGAACCAAGGGCAGTCGTGATGGACTGCAACACTTCCCGGGATGTGTTCCTGCCAACCGCTAAATACATAACTTTGTCTGAGAGGGACGAAATAAGTAGCGAGAGGATACTCTGATCTGATCTTGCTGCACCCAAGCAGCATACGCTGGATTGGCGGAGGACACGGCGGCCGTCGTACCTGATGCAGAGTCGCCGGAGGGGATGGCTTCGATGGTGGGCGGTGGACACGGCGTATCACCATCTACGTAGCCGAGGAGGCCCTGTCCACAGAGGAACGAAACTAATTGGGTGCGCCAAAACAAAAAGTTCCGGGAGGTTAGCTTTATGGATACGAAGTGGTGGGCAGAGGAGAGGGAGTTTTGGGTGGTGGCCGGGGCGGTGACGGTGGCGATAATCACCGTCTGCTCGGAGGAATTCGTCGACATGATTAACAAAGGGAATCGGCAATTTGGAGAGAGAGTAGGGAGAGAGGATTGTTTGGCTAGCTGATACCAGATGAGATTGTGGAAATCAAATTCAATTACAATCAGATAGAGACTACAATACAAAAGTGGAAGAGTTAACGTAAACTACTCCTGACTAATAGGCTAGTCACATAAGACTAAGCCACTACCACACAAATACACAATTATTAAGTGTAACTATAATAATAATAATAATAATAATAATAATAATAATAATAATAATAATAATAATAATAATAACATTACTAACAACAACATTAAATACAATTGTTCAATTACCGTACTACCCCCTACAATTAAAAAAAAAAACGATTCAGCATTAAAAAAAAAAAAAAAAAAAAAAAAAAAAAAAAAAAAAAAAAAAACTTCATTTAATGAAATAATCTCCCTTAATCTACACCATCCAATGCATCATATTTGTCCTCATAGTCCTCTATAATATACTTGTCCTCATTTGAACTCCCTTATATATATATATATATATATATATATATATATATATATATATATATATATATATATATATATATATATATAGGGAAGGGATCATGTGCATTTGAGGCTTTCCGTGCGGTTGTGCGGGTGGACGCACGTTAAACATTAATCTGACGCACTTAAAGTACACAACACACGCACATAAAACACAAACAAAACACCTTCAGAACACAACCTCACGCATGTTGAGCACAAGTCTCACGCATGTTGAGCACAAGTCTCACGCATGTTAAGTACAAGTCTCACGCATGTTAAGAACAAAAAAAAGTCTCACGCATGTTAAGAACAAAAAAACACGCACCTTAAATTTTAAAAACAACTCATATTAAGTACACACTCACGCACATTAAGTACAAAACTCACGCACCTTAAGCACACGACTCACGTACATTAAGCACAAAACTCACGCACACCAAGCATAAAACTCATGCACTTTAAAGTTTCAACAACAACTCACATTAAGTACACATTCACGCACATTAAGCACAAAACTCACGCACATTAAGCACAAAACTCACGCACATTACACACAAGACTCACGCACAATAAACATTATACACGCACATTAAGCATAAATCTCACGCACATTAAACACAAGACTCACACACATTAAACACAAAACTCACGCACATTAAGTACAAAACTCACGTACATTAAGCACAAAACTCACGCACACCAAGCATAAAACTCATGCACTTTAAAGTTTCAACAACTCACATTAAGTACACATTCACGCACATTAAGCACAAAACTCACGCACATTACGCACAAGACTCACACACATTAAGTATAAAACTCACGCACAATAAACATTACACACGCACATTAAGCATAAATCTCACGCACATTAAACACAAGACTCACGCACATTAAACACAAGACTCACGACATTAAGTACAAAACTCGCACACATTAATCACCCGCACAACCGCACGGAAAACACTTAAATGTACCTGTACCTGAACCTGAACCTCTCTCTCTCTCTCTCTCTCTCTCTCTATATATATATATACACACACACACACACACACACACACACACACACACTCACACACATACATAGATACATACTTCTTCTCCGTCTTATTCCTTTAAGATGGATGATGAAGAAAAAGGCGAATTGGGATCTTAGAGTTTTAAATCCCTTTATTTATGTACGAATTGAGATCTTAATTATAAAAATACGAAAATATACTTAATAATATTAGATTTTGGCATGTTCTAAATGGAGAGGTGACTATCGTGATAAAAAATTGCACTAAAACAATAATCATGGATGAAAATTGATAAGAATTATATATATGAACCAAAACTATCATTTTACTAATACTCGTGGGATCAAAATTGATATTTACTCTTTCTAGTGGTTTAAATTAAAGAAAGGAATTTTTAAGCTCTATAATTGGTTTGGTGGTGGAGTCTATATTTTAGGGTTAAAAGGAACAAGATGCAAATAAAATGATATGTTTACCTTGAATTTATGGCACCTTTCAAGCCTTTGCTAACAAAAGACTAGACTGGTCACATTTAGTTTTTATACAGAGTTTGCTAGTTATTTTATCCTCGGATCATTTGGTCTTAACAATACTCGAAGGGCCATTGAAGTTCATGTCTATATATACAACTCTGTAGAGTCGAACATTTCCTGAAATGCAAAAAAATTCTCCTTTCAAAATCTCCTGAAAGCATAATCCATCATTGCCAAATTGTTTAATCTATAATGTGATGAAGTAACACCAGAATCTATTACACTGAAAATTGGTGCGGCAAAGATGAACCATCCACTGCACAACCTACAATTGAAGCCTTGCCCTGAATACACATTACCAAACCACCAAACTTTGAGAGGATGTTTGTTTTGAGATCAACACAATCACAACCCCACACATCAAAATACCTACTTGAGGACAGGAGTCTATCAGCAGGAGCTTATTCCCTTCCACCACCGCCACCGCCTTGTCCAGGCGCCAATTTCCCTAGGCCATCACTGGAATTAGCCTCCAAGCCAACCTGCTTGTTTCCTCGCATATCTAGACCACTTGCACCGCTTAGTCCAGGTCGCATAAGTTGATGCATGCCATTGTTGACTGTAGCCCCAAAACCCGGATGGCCTTGAAATTGTTGTTGTTGCTGCTGCTGCTGCTGAAATTGGAGCAGCTGCTGTTGTTGCTCCTGAGATGGGAAACCACCGTTAAGCTGGAAGGGCAACTTCGGAACAGCAACTTGTTGCTGTGGCAGTGCAGTGGCTTGAGTTTGCTGCATCGGATTCCCTTGTTGAGGAACAGAACTTGGAGCCTGCAGAAACTACACTATTATCAGGAAAAAAGGAGCAATTGCACACCAAACAATTCAATTTAAATCATCACATTAAAACCACCTGTGAGGAGTTTGCTGATCCTTGTGGTTGTTGCGCATCAGCAATTGCAGCTAAATACATCAGATTCTTCTGAAGAATGGCTTGATACCTATAATGTCAAACATTGTGCAGTGCACCAAGATCATTCTCAAACTTTGCATTAGCAACTCAATACAAAATTAGATATGATGATCACTATAACTGAAAAGTATCTCCTCTAAATGTCACCAAAATTATGTCATTATTATGTTCATATCTATGGTTATATCAATCCAAACTATAGCATACTAATACAAATATCAAACAATATTAATGATTAAAAACTTAAAATCATTATTCACTAATAACTTCATTTGGAACCCACCAAGAGTAGATAGAAAATTAGGACAAATACAATGAAAGAAGGTAATATACTGTCATCTTATCCTCTGTTAACAATATGACTATCTATTCAGGTTCAGCCAATGTAGTAGAAAGTGCTAGGTGCCCATTCGGCAGTTGATAGGCGCTTAGTGCTTAGGCCACCTATGCGCCGACTAGGCAGGCACCTAGCCCAAACTTGAAAAGAAGACCAGGGACTGCAAAGATAAAGCCCTAGTGTACAACTAAAACCAAGCCCAAAAAGCCTAAAATGGCAACTTTTGCCTTCCATTTCAGCCTAGGGGCACCTAGCACCTAGGCGGCTGCCTAGGCAGAGTTTTACAACAGTGGGTTCAGCATATGAAACTAGCACTCATGTTTCATACATATTAGTGTGAAACTGAGGCTTCAATTCTCACTTGTTGCTCTAGACATCAAATTCCAAACTTGCACCTGAACTTTTCAGGTTTAAGTAAGCAATTAGTCCTTATACAATTATAAAATGTTCATTTTAGTCCCTATACAATTAAATTGATCAATTTAATCCTTGTATTATTAGAAATATGGCAATCAAGGACAAATGTAAACTCTGTTAACTTCACTAACTTGTAGCATACCAGATTGCCAACTCATTTCCCAATTAAAACAAACCCAAAAATCTGTTGCCTAAATCTTCCCCATGTTACCATAGCCCAGACCTATGAGGATGTTACATCTCCACATCTGAAAACCTAGTGATGGCAGCTATGCAACGGGGGCAGAAGCTGTTGGATAGGTTATTCAGTTTTATTTATTTATTTATTTATCTTAAACCTTCATCTAAACCTAAATAGGAAGAAAGCAATATAATCAAAATCTAGAAGTTAGTACAAGAAAATAATATTATGATTTTTTTTTATTTAAAAAAAAAAAATTGAAGCAGTAATAGTATGATTTTTGGTTTATCCAGCAACCAAATAGGTTGAACTGAGAAAAAGTACCATTGTGTTCAAAAACCTATGGGAAAGAAAATTGCAAATTGCAAATCACATAATAGAAAAACCTTGAAACAAAGAAAAATACGAGGTAGCAACACTAAATCTACCTACAAAGAATATCTATGAATACACACATTGGGGTGAATCCACATCCACATCCACTAAAGGTAGATTTGAAAAATTCTATACGCATCCGCATCCGCTGGGGTGTGGATACAATCCAATCCGTTCCGCAAATCGCAGATTTGGCGAATTGGATGCGGATTTTAAGTCTTACTTGAAGTAGTGTTTATTGAGCTTGTGATTGTGATACCGTGAAGAACAAGTTTGACTTGAAGAAAGAAGGCGAAAAGTCGAAATTCAAAAACGACAATTGAGAAAGAGACCTAAAACCCTAGGCCAAGTGTAGAAAAAATAAAAAATAAAATTGAATTATAATTTTAGATTTGGGTAGCACTTGCCATAGGACACCCAATAGTGAGATACTAGGCTCTCTCTGTGTAACTACATTGTTTTGGTTGCAGATTGGATATAATGAATTTTGGGAAGTCACATCGGCATCCAATGTACTAGTGGCGGATTTCCACCAAGTGTATCCACACCTCATCCACATTAGGTGGATACGGATTGGATGGGAGCAAATTTGACGGATCCTTGCTTACCCCTAACTCACATCCACATGCGAGCATAAAATACTAATGCAACCCATCTAGGGTTCACAATTGAATGGCAATCCGGCAGGTCGTTCCCGTTGATGAATTAGCTATGTTAATTAAATTTGTTTGCAAAAATGAGTTGGTAAGGCAAGACAGCAACACAAAATCAAAAGTTAAGGGTGTTTGTTGTCAGAATTTTAATTTGTTCTTGATTGTTAATTTTTTTAATAGTGCAAGGATTAAATTGATCAATTAAATAGTATAGCGACTGAAATGAAATTTTTGCAATGGTACGAGGACCATTTGTATTTAAACCAACTTTTCATTGCAATGGTGTCTGGATGAAAAGGATTTGAGGGTTACAACTAATAAAAGAAAATCAGTTGTCCCCAAATGTAATCTAAGAACTCTAAACTCATTTTCATGATAGAAAGCGCAACACTAATGTTATGTATTGAAAAAAAAAAGAGAAAAACTTATTGAAACCTCAATAACGAAAGGTTTTAAAACACAAGATCCATACTTCAGCAAACCGACAGAATGTTTCTTACAGCCAGTCTGAACCCAAATATTAGATATATGGTGACATCAAACTCTCAACCATAACATTTCATTTAGGTAACATTGTAACAATCACCTAAATTTTCTTTGTACATAAACTATTAAAAAACAATAATACTATAATAGGGAAAATTTTCCACATAGAAACACAAATTGCAACAGGAATATTAAATGCTATAATAGAATAAAATCTTCATAGTAAACATCATCAACTTACTGTGCACATTCAGCAAGTTTCCCAAGGTTTTGATTTTCTAGTATTGCCAAAATCAGATTTTTGTTATCATCCAAACACTGCATCAATAACAGGGCATCAATGTATTTAACAATAAAATCATTTTGTACTCAATATGCTGGCATATTTCCAATAATTCCAAAGAAATCAAGACGGAAATTCAAAGAGCTCAAAATTTCCTTTTCATTTTTATATAAAACAAAGAAAGGAATAAAGTAATGCAGAAAATTAGTAACAAATCAATCAAGAACATGTGAAGAATTTGATGTATATAGTAGGTTGAATAATTAATGAGTATTAAGTATCCAATAAATATAGAGGGTAACCACACAGGTCTTAAAGACATTAGGAGAAGCATTTTGCTATGAATTTACATACTCTAAATCAAATTTCTTTCTCCAAAAAAATAACATCATGACATTCCTTCTTATTGATAACAAGGAAATGTAAACTTTTCATTTCAGCTACTCATTTTTGCTTCAGAAAGGACAAAAACTTTAAGCACATATTAGATCCATATATAAATTCTACATCCTCTAACGGTAGAGGAAAAAAAAATAACCTTTTGAATCTGCTCAGTGGTGACAGCATTAAGCGGAAGCTGAGGAACAGAGTTGAGAGACGGGGTAGGTTGCGGCTGCATTTTTTACAAGAGTCCGAGGTTGGGGTACGAGAAAACCCTAAACCCGAAGACAAATTTTTATGAAAATTCATAACAACATCAGATCAAATATATGAGAAAGAGAGAGATGAGGCTTAGCGAGAAGATTAAAAAAACGGAATAAAAGCTAAGGTTATCAGCAAATATGCTCTCACCTGTAAAGTTCGAGAAGGGATTTGAAAATTTTTGCAGATTTACGAGAATGCAGTGCTACAAAATCGCTGGAGGGGACAGGGGTGAGGCCGTGAGGTTTTAGGGAATTAGGGCTTCGTGAAAGGAGGGAGAAGGCAGCTATCCTGAATCGTTGCTAAGAAAATTACGTTCAAATTTGAGGCGGTTGTCACGGGCAACCAGCCAAATTGGGAACACAATCTTTGTCCTTACCACTTTTTGTTAGATTGTGTATGTAATTATTTAATTATTTTTGAAAATTCACAAATTATTAGTATTATTTTAGATTTTAGATGCTCTATGCTATTGCATATGATACATAAAGAAGTGTTTAGAGAATAGTTGATTAATCATATTTAATTTTAGTTGTTAATATGATCAAATTTCTACGATAAATGATTGATACTCCGTAATAAGCTTACTGACATAATTGATTGGTCTCAGTTAATCAAATATGAAAATGTTGTTAAGAGAATGAGAGCAATATTTGAGAACTTATTGTATTTTGATTTTGAAAATCGTATTTGCCATTCAAATTTGTTGTTCTCTCATCTAAAATGATGAGTGAATCTTGCAATCTTTGACACGGAGTCTATCACGAATCCAATGGATCATGCTCCCTCCCATGTGATTAGAGGAAAAAGAATTACAAAATAAATTAGACTTAATATGAAAATTGTCATGGGAGGGTTCTGTGGAAAAGCTAGCTATAGAAAAGCAGCTCTTGTTGAGGCGGAAGCTATCACGAAAAGCCTTGCATGGGCCTGGGAGAGAGGTATCCGAGACATTGAAGTGTAATTCGATGCGAATAAAATTATTAGGTGGATTCATGAGCAACCTGAGATTAGAGGACTCATTTGTGAGCTCCTTGAAGAGGCAAGAAGCTTGCTCAAGAGAAGTTGGAAGGCTTCCTTCAAAGGTATCTACCGGGAACAAAATGGTGGTGCGGATGAGCTTGCTACTATGGGCGTGAACATGGATCTTGACTGGAAAGACTTTGTTGATTGTCCTCTTGGAGTTGAAGAAATCATCTTTAATGATAGCATGTGTGCCACTAGGGTGTGCGATGTAAGGATATAGTCGTGCTAGTTATTCTTTGGGGTCCCTTCCATCCTTTTTCTGATCGAAAAAAAATTAAAAATTGTCATAAATTGATTAATGTCACTCTCAAGACTTCAATTTCTAATGTCAAATGCAAACCTTCGTCATTGCTAATTTCCGCCACAAAGGATAAATGGAATCTGCACATAGAAGGGAGAAGGAGAGTATTTTGGGTCTTCTAATCTGTTTGGAAATCCATAAAAATAACTTTCAGAGATTTTTTTTTTAAGTTTTTAATGTTTGATTATTAAGGAAAAATGAAGTCAACAAAAATACTTAGGTTCTGTTTAGAAACTCGAAAAATGATTTTCACGAGTCATGTTCCAAATTTTTCAGTGTCTGGTTACTCAAGGAAAATCAAGTAAAATGAAATATTTATTCTAACCAGAAAAAAAAAAAAATATGTCCAATTTGACGAAAAATGTCTTCCTAATTTTTTTAGTTGAAGGATATTTTTGTAATTCTTATCTCTCTTCACTTTCTTCTTTTTTAAATTAGTTTTTGGATTATTATTAATACAACCACCAAATCACCACCACCACCACCACCACCACCACCACAACACCAACGCAACACAGCAACACCAACACCACAACCACCACCATCTCCCTCTCCCTCTCCATATCTCTCTCTCTCTCTCTCTCTCTCTCTCTTTCTCTCTCTCTCTCATGTTGGTGTACCACGTTAAGAACACTCTGATTTTGGTTCACAGTAAAGGCTTCACTAGCTTTCCTATCATGTGAAATAGCTTGAGAAATCTGTATGAAGAATTCATTTAACAGCCCCTTGATATTCGAATTAATCCCACCAACTTGGATTTGAGAAGGGATTCATCAACTTTAGTAATTAATTCCAACGCCCGTGAAACTGCTGCATTGTTTTCCTTTATCATTTTTGAGATAGTTCCAGAAACTATGCATGAAGCCTCTTGGGCTTTGGGCATAGCTTGCTCCGCTACAACGTCATGGGCTTTAGAGAAGAGCAGCAAAGCTTTAGAAATTGTGCAAATACTCATCGAGATGGCTGCATCATAGCCAACCAAACTTTTCTCCATCTCGAGAATGTCACCAATCAATTTGTTTATCACTTAGTTCAAATTGTAGTATTCCGCCTTCAAAGGCATCATCTGATCCTTTACAAGCTGAGCAGTCGCAGTCGCACTCAGGGATTCAAGAGTAGAAGTAAGTGATTAAGACGGCTAAGAGTGAATGACCTCTTCGATTCGTTGATCTTCTTTATTGATCTGTAAAAACAAAATAAACCACCAATTCAAAAATAATAAAATAAACCTCAAATTAATTCTTGATTTCAAAAAAAAAAAAAAAAAAAAAAAAAAAAAAAAAAAAACTATACATTCTCAAGCTCATCCTGAATTTTGGCAATTGATTCCCTGACTTAAACAACATTGTTGAACGCCTAAAATACTAGTTGGTCTTTTTCCTTGACAAGCTCGAATATTTTAGTTTTTTGAGCTAAAGACTCATTGATGATTGCCTTATTTGCTTGGTCTATATTTTTGCTTCTACGACCATCTAGATTGTGTAGGTTTTTGTTAAGAGTCAACATTGATAAAATATGAGAGAACATATGGTTTATAAGGGCATTGGTTAGACTAGCTAATTGGTTGGATTCAATCTTTTAGTGTGGTTTGGCACATGTGCATTATAGTCCAGTTAAGTGAGTATCAGATACTGGTATCAGAGTATGTACTCGGTTATAGGTATCAAAGCCACTTTGGAGGTGGTTTGGGTTCACCTGGTTATGGGTATCAGAGCCACTTTGGGGTGGTTGGATTCAATCGCCTGTTATCAGAGTTTGTACCCGGTTATGGGTATCAGAACCTAATGAACCGATTGATCCTTGATTATTATGTATTGAAGTCGTTAACATTACGCTTTTTTACATTGAGTTTTGATTCGTTGCATTTTTTGGATATCGATTTGGTGTTTTGACTGTTTTCCAATTAGTTTTAAACAGATGTATGGTGGCACTTTTGTAGTATTATTATAGAATTTTGTGGTTAGTAGGATAGAGATTTTGATAGTTAATAAAAAACAGGACCTCTTTGTACCTTGTGAGACTGAGAATTCATTTTCCTTCCTAACCAGGAAACATTGAAGTCGTGAAACTGCTGCATTGTTTTCCTTTATCATTTTTGAGATAGTACCAGAAACTATGCATGAGGCCTCTTGGGCTTTGGGCATAACTTACTCCGCTACAACGTCTTGTGCTTTGGAGAGGAGCAGCAAAGCTTTAGAAATTGTGCTAATACTCATCGAGATGGCTGCAACATAGCCAACCAAACTTTTCTCCATCTCGAGAATGTCACCGATCAATTTGTTTATCACTTGGTTCAATTGTAGTATTCCGCCTTCAAAGGCATCACCTGATCCTTTACAAGCTGAGCAGTCGTAGTCTCAGTCGCAGTCTCAGTCGCACTCAGGGATTCAAGAGTAGAAGTAAGTGATTAAGCCGGTTAAGAGTGAATGACCTCTTCGATTCGTTGATCTTCTTTATTGATCTGTAAAAACAAAATAAACCACCAATTCAAAAATAATAAAATAAACCTCAAATTAATTCTTGATTCCAAAAAAAACAAAAAAAAAAAAAAAAACTATACATTCTCAAGCTCATCCTGAATTTTGGCAATTGATTCCCTGACTTGAAGAACATTGTTGAACGCCTAAAATACTGCTTGGTCTTTTTCCTTGACAAGCTCGAATATTTTAGTTTTTTTGAGCTAAAGACTCATTGATGATTGCCTTATTTGCTTGGTCTATATTTTTGCTTCTACGACCATCTATATTGTGTAGGTCTTTGTTAAGAGTCCACATTGATAAAATATGAGAGAACATATGGTTTATAAGGGCATGGGTTAGACTAGCTAATTGGTTGGATTCAATCTTTTAGTGTGGTTTGGCACATGTGCATTATAGTCCAGTTAAGTGAGTATCAGAGACTGGTATCAGAGTATGTACTTGGTTATAGGTATCAGAGTCACTTTGGAGGTGGTTGGGGTTCACCTGGTTATGGGTATCAGAGCCACTTTGGGGTGGTTGGATTCAATCGCCTGTTATCAGAGCCTATACCCGGTTATGGGTATCAGAGCCTATTGATCCGATTGATCCTTGATTATTATGTATTGAAGTCGTTAACATTAAGGTTTTTTTTATTATTATTTTGAGTTTTGATTCGTTGCATTTTTTGGATATCGGTTTGGTGTTTTGACTGTTTTCGAATTAGTTTTAAACAGATGTATGGTGGCACTTTTGTAGTATTATTATAGAATTTTGTGGTTAGTAGGATAGAGATTTTGACAATTAATAAAAACAAGACCTTTTTGTACCTTGTGAGGCTGAGAATTCATTTTCCTTCCTAACCAGTTATTTTTAGAGCTGTCAAAACGGGCCAGCTCGGCCCATATGGGCTGACCCATCTCGGGTTCAACTGGAAACGGGACGGGCCGACCCGACCCATTTTCCACGGGTTGGGATTTTCCCAACCCAACCCGTGTAGGACGGGCTAAACGAGTCAGCCCGTCAGCCCGTTTATTCTTTTTTTTTTTTTTTATTTTTATTTATTTACATGATTAAAGTATTTATTATTGTATTGCTAAAAAATTAAACCCATGACCTCTAAGGTAGTAGCCAAGACTATTTCCAATCAACCACATTAACCATGATGAACAAATATGTATATTTATATATATACAAATATGTATATACACATATACACATATAAAATTAGATTTTAGTTTTTAATATGTAATTATAATTTATTTAATTTATATTTAATACTAATATATTTTACATGTAATATTTTTTATTTTGTAATTATAATATATACTATTAAGTTATAAAGTTTATAAAATATATAATTTATTACTTTATGTAATTTATATAATAAATAAACTTTAAATTAATATTTATATAAAGATACAATTAATTGTATTAATTAATACTTGTACTAAATGTAATGTAAATCAATTATCAATTATATATTTAATAATGCTTGTAAATGATGTAAGTACACATATAATTATATTAAAATGTTCAACATGTGTTCTTAGCATAATTGGTTTTAATAGTAATAATTTGATAACTTAAGTAAACGGTCAAAGGTTCAAGTTTTGTTAGCAACAATATTTTTAAATATTAATAAAATACCCAATTATACAACACATTTGGTGGTGGGGTGGGTGGGGATACGGGTTATACGGGTTGGCCCGTGGGGATACGGGTTATACAGGCTGGCCCGTGTAACCCACGGGCCAACCCGTATAACCCATATCTCCCACGGGTTACACGGGCCGGGTTGGAAACGGGACGGGCTGGAAATCCTCCAACCCAGCCCGTGTAAAATATGGGTTAAACGGGCCCAACTCGTCGTTTTGACAGCTCTAGTTATTTTGTAGAGATCTTGTTGTCTGTGAAGTTTAATTGTGGGTTTTATATGTAGATATCCACAGTGACTATGATGTGTGGTTTGATTGTTAAAGTGCAAATCTTATGGAGCATTGATTGTGATGGTGACCATTTGCATTTTTATCTTCATTGCTCAAGTGACTTTGGTTTTGTGTGTTTTCGTTTGGATGATGTGATTTGCAATTCCCTATGTAATAAACATCTAACTCCTATTTTCTTTCTTTGGCCATTATATGCAGCCATTTGACTGGAAAAGGAAGATATTTTTTTAGAAAGAGCAAGAAGAAAAGTGATGCGTTTTCAACATCATGGGAGCTATTTGGTGTTGTTGCTGCTGCAAAGTAGCAAACTCTGAGTAGGAATGAGTTGAATAATACTACTCCGTACAATTTTCATTTTGTTGTTCTTGTTAGTACAATGATAAGGTTTTGTTGTTACCCCAATTAACTTTGGGATATTGATTCATCAAATAATTGGATTTCATTCTTCTTTTTTACCTCTTTACTCTAAGTACGGGTTCCATCATTATACCCCTTCATTCATCATCCTTCCTCATGGTCTTGAATGTTTATCATTAACCTTGTTATGAACTCATTTCACCCCATACAATATGCCTTGTGGAGTATCAAATCCCACTATTTGTTATGAAACAAAGTCTAGTTTAGCATTACATGATTGATAGATTGAGATGGAAAATGGAAGAATATTGTGTAACTTGCAGTGTACCATAATAGTTTTCTTGATCGTGCTACGTCTTACGTGCTTTAACCCTTTTGCTACTAAGCCTTTACGACAATGTATGGTATCTTAAGACTGATGACGATGATTGAGTGGTATAGGATTTGATAGTAGTGGCTGTGGCAGGAGTTTTGGTTAGGGCAAAGATGTTGATATGTGTATACCCGGAATCTTATGAGTTGGGATTTGAGGGCAAGGAGATGATACTTGTTTGGAATGTTTAAGGAAAGAATCCCAAACGCTCTCAAGTGTTCACAACTTCTTTTGTGTCTCCTTTGTTGAGTCTACTGACATAAATGCAGTAGTTTGGTGAGATCCATTGCCAATTTCCTTGTATTTTATGAAGCTCTGACTTCATTACCTCTTGCCTTTGTGTGGGTTAACTTAAGTCTAACACTATTATCAAAACTTTTCATGCATGTACTACTTGCCCTTTCCAAAACACGTTGTGAACTGTCCTTTAGGCCGACACACTTTAAGTTTCAACAACTAACGTACGTTAAGCACACAAACCACACACCTTAAGAAGGAAAACCACGTACCTAAAGCTTTAGATCGACGCATTTAAGTTTTCAACAACTGACGTACCTTAAGTCACACAGTACAAAAATTCACACACCTTAAGCATAAAAACTATGCACCTTAAAAAGAAAAACCATGCACCTTAAATTTGACCTAGATGCAAAAAGATCAAATTGCCATCACATTTTTTTTAATCATTGTTAATCCTGAACGTTGATTTAGACAAAATCAATGGCTTAAATTTAACCGCACAAATGCACGGAACACACCCAACCGCACATGAACTAAATTATATATATATATATATATATATATATAGCGTACATATGAAACATTATATTGTATGCATATTAAGTATGTGTACATATTAAGCATATGTTGTGTGTGTATATCTTATGTTGTACACAATATATGTTTAATAAGAACACGTTATAATGTTTCATATGCATAACGTTTTTTATTTTCTCAATTAATTTCATCTATAGATATCTCATATTTTTTAATACACCAAATTAGTTCTTATATTCTTACGTGAGGAGTGGTTCTTAAATGATTACAATTTTGGAGGTAGTTTGATGATTTATTTCACGGTTATAGTTGCCAAAGAAGAAAATGGAAAATGAGTGTCCTTAAACTGATGTTTATCCAATTTTCCAAAACATAAATCATGTTTGTTGAAGCATCGGGGTTCCCCTCTTCCCACCAAATATGCCCTTCACTCTTCCCATCCCCACATACGCTTAGCAATTCGGTGATTCGTAAATAAAAACATTTATACATAACTATCCTGCAATTTTCGCCAAATAAAATTGGTTAGTGTTCTATTTTCATGTATGCCACCGTCAGCTTTTGAGACCCCCTTATTAAATGAGATGGTGAGATGAGATCCCATCCATTTATAAATTTGTAATGGATTGATGAGATTGAATGAAGAATATAATGTAAATAAGGGCATATTTTAAATATGGGGGTTTAAAAGTAATTGTATTAATGTGTTAATTTTGGTTAGAATGTCAACAGATAACAACAACTCATCTGCCATCTCATCATCCCTAACTGCCAATTCTGTTATGTTTAGTAGAAGTTAGTTATGGTAGTTAGAAGAGAATTGTCTTCTCTAATCTTCCAAGTAGAATGTATATAGTGTTCTCTAACCCTCTGTAATTGAATGATGGTCAATGTAACAGTACTCTTTCTTCCCTGCTTGTTACTTCTCTGCTTGGCCAATTTCTTCTTTCTGCTCTCTTTCTTGATATGGTATCAGAGCCACAATGGCTTGGCGACCACCAGCCGTAAACATGAATCAGCAAGGAGCTTCTCTCCCACCAACTCCCGTCCCAGCTTCAAATCAAAACCCTAGCACCAGCTCAAATCATAATCAGTCTAGCAGAAACTTCGATCCAAACGATCAGACAGATCCTCTCCACCTTCATGCCAATGAGAGTCCTACCCTGCAGTTAGTGACAGCACAGTTAGAGGGGAGGTCGAATTATCACTCTTGGGCAAGGGCCATGGAAATGGCATTGAGATCCAAGAACAAAATGTTGTTTGTTGAAGGACTGGTGCCTGCACCCAGCAAACTGGATCCCAAATTCTACTATTGGGATCGTTGTAATACGATGTTGCTCTCCTGGATATTGAGAGCATTGTCTCCTACCATAGCTGGGAGTGTTCTCTGGATCAACACAGCCGAAGGAGTATGGAAAGACCTGAGGAAGAGATTCAGTCAGCAGGATGTGTTCAGAGTCGCTGAAATTCAATCTCAAATTCATCATGTTAGACAAGGTAATTCCACAATAACTGAATACTTTACACAATTGAAGTTATTGTGGGATGAAATGCTGGTTTTAAGACCTATTCCCAGCTGTGAATGCTCCCCTAATTGTGCATGTGGAACTCATTTGTCTGAGAAAGTGCTGGTTCACCTACAAAATGACATGCTATCTGCTTTCCTGACTGGCTTGAATGATAATTACACAAGTGCAAAAAGGCAGATCATGTTAATGAAACCCCTCCCTGATGTGAATGAGGCTTTTTCCATGGTTTCACAACAAGAAAGACAACTGGATATTGAATCCACCACTCTAGGAGACAACATGACAAGTGCAAATGCTTTTTTCACAAAAGCAGACAACAATGGCAGAAAGCCCTTTCCTAATCAGAAACAAAGACCTGTATGCAGTTATTGTGGATGTACAGGACACACAATTGATAAGTGTTACAAGAAGCATGGCTACCCACCCGGTTTGAAATGAAGAAACAGAGGGTTGGGCTCAGCCAATCAAGTGCAAGGACCTGTTCAAGAAAACAGCAACTCAGAAGCAACTTCTGCTTTCACTCAGGAAGATTACAGGAGGTTTCTTGAATTCATGCAAAATGAGAAGATGAAGGCTGATATGAAGATCAACACTCCTTTTGATCTTAATCCCCAGGTGAATACCATGGCCTCCAACTATATGAAGGTCAACACTCCTCTTGATCCTAAGCCTCAGACCATGGCTGCCAACTTCATTCCAAATGCTCATCATAAAGGTAAGACTGCTAAGTCTGAATCAGAATGGATTATTGATAGTGGTGCCACACACCACATTGTATGCAATGTACATTTACTTCACACATCTAAGAAGGCACAAGGGATTCATGTGGATCTACCAAATGGACACTATGCAGAGGTGTCTCACACAGGAACTGTCCATCTATCCACTGATTTGATATTGAAGAATGTTTTGTGTGTTCCCATATTTCAGTATAATCTTATATCTTTGGGAGAGCTTGTAAAGGGATCAAATTGTAGTACTCTATTCCATTCTGACCAGTGCATTATACAGGATCAACTCCATGGGAAGATGATTGGTCTAGCTAAGCTGGAGAAGGGCCTCTATCACCTCACATTTCCTGTTTTTGTTCAGAATATACCTGCTGTTTTTCCAACTGTGAATTCTTGTAGTTTTTGGCATGCTAGGTTAGGGCATGTTTCTGAAGGAAAGATAAAAGCTCTTCATGCTTTAGATGATAAAATTTGTAATGATAAGCCTACTGTCTGTGAATATTGCCATATGGCTAAACAAAGAAGGTTACCTTTCCAATCTAATCCATCTGTTGCAAGTCAGTGTTTTGATCTTATTCACCTTGATATATGGGGTCCCTTTCATGTCCCTACTATCTATGGACATAAATACTTCTTAACCATAGTTGATGATCACAGCAGAGCCACTTGGACCTATTTAATGAGAAACAAAAATGAAGCAAGGCAAATTATTCAAAATTTCTGTGAATTAATCAAAACACAGTTTGAAAAGGGAATTAAGTGCATGAGATCTGACAATGGAAAAGAGTTCTTCATGGAAGAATATTATCAGAAGAAAGGGATCATTCATCAAAAGTCTTGTGTTTATACTCCCCAGCAAAACAGTGTTGTGGAAAGAAAGCATGGACATATACTTTCTGTGGCAAGAGCCATAAGGTTTCAAGCTAAACTACCTGAAGAATTCTGGGGTGACTGCATATTGCATGCTGTCTATTTGATAAATAGACTTCCTTCAGCAGCTCTAGGGAACCAAATCCCATATCAAATCTTATTTGAGAAAGCCCCACAATACCAACACATTAAAGTCTTTGGATGCCTAGCATTTGCCACAATCCCAAGTTGTCTAAGAAATAAGTTCTCTTCAAGAGCTAGGAAATGTGTGTTTTTGGGCTTTGCAAATGGTGTGAAGGGATACAAACTTATGGACTTCAACACTAAAGAGGTATTCCTATCAAGAGATGTATCCTTTTATGAGAACATTTTCCCTTTTCAGAACACTCAAGTCACTCAAACTCCCAGCCTGATTCTACCATCTGAAGGGGTGTCATGTTTGCCTTATGATGAAGGCACTGCTTTGCCTATTACTCAGGATCCTCCTGAGACAGAAGATGGTCCACATGAATCAGATCATATTGTCTCTCAGGATGCTGGTTTCTTTGACACTGAGTCACCAACAATGCCTGTACCAGAACTGAGAAAATCAACAAGAGTAAGAAATAAGCCTGCTTATCTTGGAGATTATGCATGTCAAAATGCCATAAGTAGAACATCCCCACATAACATCTCAAAGTTTCTTTCCTATGAGAATCTCTCACAGTCATACAAGGCCTTTGCTGTAAATGCTCTAAGTGCCAAGGAACCAAAGATCTACAATGAGGCAATCAAGCAGGAGTGTTGGAAAAAGGCCATGGAGTCAGAAATCAGTGCATTAGAGGCTAACAACACTTGGTTCCTCACTGATCTTCCTTCTTCCAAGGTACCTATAGGGTGCAAGTGGGTGTTCAAAACCAAATTGAAAGCAGATGGAACAATTGAAAGGCATAAAGCCAGACTTGTGGCAAAAGGGTATACACAAACACCTGGCTTGGATTATCTAGAAACATTCAGTCCTGTGGCAAAAATAACCACAATCAGAGTGCTGCTTGCTGTGGCTGCAATCAAAGGGATGGACACTTCACCAACTTGATGTGAACAATGCCTTCCTACATGGGGATCTAAATGAAGAAGTGTACATGACCCTACCTCCTGGATTTACACCTTCTAAACCTGGCCAAGTGTGCAAATTAATCAAGTCCCTCTATGGACTAAAGCAAGCTAGCAGACAGTGGAATGTCAAGCTTACTCAAGAGTTGCTAAGCATGGGGTTCAAGCAGGCCATATCTGACTCTTCTTTATTCACCAGAGGCAAGGGTAATGAATTCATAGCACTACTTGTATATGTTGATGATGTGGTAGTTGCTAGTCCAGATACAGATCAGGTACAGCAGATCAAAAGGCATTTAGACAATGTTTTTCACATCAAGGACTTAGGTCCTTTAAAATTTTTCTTGGGCTTGGAGGTTGCTAGAAGCAGTAAAGGGATTCATGTAACTCAAAGAAAGTATACTCTGGAATTGCTTGAAGAAACTGGTTTCTTACAATGTAGACCTGTCAAAACTCCTATGGTACATTCATCTAGACTTAGCAAAACTGCTGGAAACACTTTAGAAGATACTACTCAGTACAGAAGACTGGTAGGGAAATTGCTATATCTCACAATCACAAGACCTGATATAGCCTATGCTACACAACAACTATCTCAATTTCTAGATTGTCCCACTGATGAACATCTACAAGCTACACACAGGGTTCTCAGATATGTGAAAGGAGCTCCTGCACAAGGCTTATTCTTCTCAGCCTCATCAACCCTGTTGATCAAGGGATTCTCTGATTCTGACTGGGCTGCATGTCCAGATACTAGAAGGTCTGTTACTGGCTTCTGCATCTTTATTGATAACACCTTGATATCTTGGAAATCAAAGAAGCATCACACCATATCTAGAAGCTCATCTGAAGCTGAATATAGAGCACTTGCCTCAACAGCCTGTGAAATACAATGGTTAGTATATCTGCTACAGGATCTAGAAGTGAATGTTAAAACTCCAGCTATGTTATATTGTGATAGCAAATCAGCCATTGCAATAGCTGAGAATCCAGTCTTCCATGAGAGAACAAAGCATATTGAAATAGATTGCCATCTTGTAAGGGAAAAGTTGCAGAAACAAGTGTTAAGGTTACTGCATGTTACCACCTCCAACCAGCTAGCAGATGTGTTCACAAAACCCCTTCCTGTTGGCATGTTTTGCAGTCTCATCTCCAAGCTAGGACTACAATCCTTGTACACTCCAGCTTAACCCTCTGTAATTGAATGATGGTCAATGTAACAGTACTCTTTCTTCCCTGCTTGTTACTTCTCTGCTTGGCCAATTTCTTCTTTCTGCTATCTTTCTTGATATAGAATTAGATTGGAGTCTTTGCCATAATCAAAGATAACAAATATTATGGAAATAAGTTCTAGTCAATTCTAGACAATGTCAGTAGGAGTTTAACCGTGAGCTTTTGATTTGTGATTGGGACGAGTTTTTAGAGGTTGAAGATGGCGAGTAGCGCAGGTATGAGAGTTGCTGACTTAAGTATGTAATTAACTTTGTACGTTGGTCTATGCATCCAGGTCCTACGGCGTGTGCGTGAACAGAATTTGTACGTTCATTTTGAATGAATTAGACGGTATGACTGTTTTTGTGGTTAGTGCATGAAATGCGGTGTGTGCATTTGTTTATGACGGATTGTGCGTCATGGGCCATAGCAATTTTGTGTGTGCGTTTGTTCACGTAGGCCTGTGCGTGTGTGTATTATTTGTGGTCTGTGCGTGATGACAAATAAAATGTTCTGTGTATTACAATTATCTAATGTAATGGTTGTGATTATTTATGGAAGATAATATTATATTATTCATAACATCTTATGGACTACTGTATTGGTTTGTGACTTACAGACAACTTTGAAAAGAATGATGATGGGGTGGATTGTGTTATGGAGGTACCCCCGGGTAGCACGATGGTTTGGATACCGGAGTGTGATCAATGTCTAAAACCATTTGAAGGACAAGAATTTGAGTCATTAGATGCCGGAATTGATTTTTATATAAAGTTAAGAAAAATCGAACGTTCAAAACATGTGGTTTGGCGACAAGGCATAATAGTAGAAGTTACCCACAAAAACAGTGATATTTTTATTTGGTTAGAATTGCACGCACCAAAACAAAAAAGAGCATAAATAATGATGTGTGATTCAGATCATAGTGGATATGTTTGATGTGCACGTTGTCTAAAAGATGGTTTGCGTTAAAGTTTTTAGTACGGAATATGAACAACTGTTAGCCAATTGCACAATGGACAACATTACGCACAAGCATAATACGTAGGACGCATCAACAAGCAAGGAATTACAGAAAACGCACACACTTCACCCCAAGAGCGCACATATAATACACAATATGAAATGTGGAATATACAGATGTAATTCAATATAAGCTAAGGTGGATTCGATGAATGGGATACGAATTAGAAGGTGAATACTAAGTTTATAAAAATACAATAAAATTAAATATATATATTCAAGGAGTCAAAAAGAATTACAATTATGTAATCCTCAATTTTGTTACGCTCGTGACTAATTTAGGGACTTAAATATTGGCCTAGAACGCACCTACTGCCCCTCATAAAAATACAACATTACACACAAGCTATAAACCTTCGTGGATTTGAAAATTCAACAACTCTCCTAATCCCAACTCGACCACAGCTCTCTCCTGACAAGCATTAAACCGCCTTATCGGTGCGACCAAATGCTTGGGAGAAGCACGAATCTACAAAAACGGAAATAGTTTCAAGTCATCCGCGTCTAGCCCATCATCCTCCTCGTGTCTGGTTGCGGAACAGGGGGTGCTTCAACATCCTCGGCCGGCATCAAATGTGCAGCAGCCTCTACCGCATTTATCGTCTCTACAGTCGTGACACCTAGACATACCAAAATTGATGCACTATTAGCAACAAAAGATACCACAAAATAGTAAAAAAAAATTATCATACTCATGAGCACTCACTTTTCCCCCCCAACGCACAGACCAGAATTGGGAAACCAGTAGCCCAATATTACGCACTAGCTTATTACTTAGAACGCACCAACCAATTAGCAATTACAGTATTACGCACAAACATCACCCCAAGAACGCACACACTAATTGCCAGTACAATATGCTCTACAATATTATAAAAAATGAGAACATGACAAGCCAATCACGATTAAAGCTACCTTATATACACACACACACACACACAAAATATATATATATATATATATATATATTTCGGATACTTCTAACAAAACCAACATTAATGAACCCCAACTCCAAATATGTCCAACAAGTGCACACACTTCCTCACACCACCGTACACACGTAAATGTAGATCCTAAAAATACAATATTACGCACAAACCTCATACCAACAACGCACACACTAATTAATACTCTCGTATGCTACACAATATTTAATGTGGAATACAAGATGTAAAGCAATATAAGCAAAGGTGGATTTGATGAATGGGATACGAATTAGATGGGAATATTAAGTTTATAAAAACAAAATAAAATATAATATATGAATTCAAGTATTCAAAAAAATATCACCAAATTTTCAAATATCTCATAAAAAGAAATACCTTCAACATCCTCGGACGGCATCAAATGTATAGTCGTGACACCTAAACATACCAAAATTAATGCATTATTATCAACAAAAAATTACCACAAAATAGTAAAAAAAAGTATCATACTCGTGAGCACCGACTTTCCCCCCCACCCCCAGCGCACAGACCAGAATCCCCCTCCCAGCAGCCCAATAGTAGGCACTAGCTTATTACTTACGACGCACCAACCAATCAGCAATTATAGTATTACGCACAAACGTCACCCCAAGAATGCACACACTAATTGTCAGTACAATATGATCTACAATATTATAATTAATGACAACATGACAAGTCATTCACGATTAAAAATACCTTACATAAAAAAAAAAAAACAAAATAAACTCCGGATACTTAAAACAAAACCAACATTAATGAACCCCAACTTCAAATATGTCCCACAAAGCGCACACACTTCTACACACCACCGTACACACGTATATTTGCACCGTAAAGATAAAACATTACGCACAAGCCTAAAACGTAGAACGCATCAACGAATTACTAATTACAATATCACACACACATATGTAAATCACTATAAGCTAAGGTGGATTTGATAAAAGGAATACGAATTAGATGAGAATATTAAGTTTATAAAAACAAAATAAAATATAATATATGAATTCAAGTATTCAAAAAAATAACACCAATTTTACAAAAATCTCATTAAAAGAAATACAATTATATAACCATCCATTTTGTTAACACACGTGATTAGTTTAGTGACTCAACGCACAAGCCTAAAACGTAGAACGCTTGAACGAATTACTAATTACAATGTTACGCACAAGCTGAAAACGTAGAACGCACCAATCAATTAGTAATCAAAGTATTACGCACAAACGTCTCACAAACGCCACACAATGAACGCACACACTAATTATTACTTCAATATGTTTCATAGTAGTTAAAAATAAAAATAGCAGAAAATACAAACCATTATGCAGTGATTACTTCATCAAATTTGTAGCAACTGCAACTGATACAATAAACAACACTACAATGTAACAATTATAAAATACACGTGTCTATTATATTTGTTCAATTCAATATTACTTTATTGGCAGCATAAGATGAGAAATATTGTTTACAAACTACTTCAAGGGATATACAATTTTTAAATAACTAAAATTTGAACATGAGAGAAAAAAATAAAATTAAAGAGACATAGGTATAGTAGGTGAGAAATCCGTGTGATGTGCAAAAATTTTAGATAACAAGCTCAATCAACAATAAAAACCTCACAAACACGCAAACACAATATATGTTAAAAAAAAAACAAGCAGAAATGAAAAATTCATATGAGTATACGAATTGATTATACGAGTAAACGAATTGATTCCACATTCAAAACAAGACTTTAATCTAAAATAACAACAAGCATGAATTCAAGCTCATTGAAAATACTGACTTTTCATATCACTAAGAAAAAAAAAACAAAACAAAAAAAAAAAAAAACAAACCGCGAAACCCTAACACCTCTACCCACACCCCCAGCCTCCGACCGACCCCCTAACCAACTTACAGCCCAACACCACACCGCCCCCAACACCGCCACACCAAACCATCACCCCCCAACAACCGTCAACAACCCCCACGGAAAAACCCCACCCCCCAAGCATATACCTACCAGACGAAACAATAAAACCCCTACTGCCCCAACACTGCCACGCCCCACCACCACAATCAACAATCAAAACCCTGCATGCAACCCCCACCCCACCCAGACCAAAACCCCATGCCGGAACCCGGAGACCCACACACAAAAAAAAAACATGGAACTCGGAATACCTTGAGTAAAACCGGACGAACTGCCCTTCCGACGCTTACAATGCCTGCTAGAAGAACCCGCTATGTAACTCTACCACTTGGATGACTAGGACAAACCGGAATCGGAGAGGAGCTCGCTCGCTAAACACAGAAGACTCCGCCTAAAACCTTGTGACGCAGGGATGGAGAGAAGTGACAGAAGATGAAGTGAAACGTCTTGGGCAAGGTGAAGAGTCACGGCTTTGAAATCTAAAAATTGATAATGATTTGATCCCAAAAATAACGTTAGAAAATTATACACACGCGCTATAATTAAGGGATCAGAAATAAATACACAAATAAAAAACCACAATGACCCAGCTCCATTACAAATCATCAGCACATGGGATCCAAAAAAGTCAAAATCTAAACCGTTAAAAACTAAAAATAAACGAACCAGATGACGTCTCACCAATCTCATCAAATTAGGGGTCTCATTGGATCCAATATATATGTATATATATATGTGTGTGTGTGTGTGTGTGTGTGTGTGTGTGTGTGTGTGTGTGTGTGAAGCATAGTAAATTTGCAAACAAATAAATACCCGGAGTACGGGTAGTCGAACCACAGGGAAGTGGGGTACTAAGCACTAGCTACTAGACTACTCACGTGAAGCTAGTCCTAACAAAACAGGTGATTTTGGCAATTGAGAAAATTAAATAGCTAAATAAACAGATTGATGAAAATATAAGAATAAAATAGGATTCCTGGGATCTAAGTGTTTAATCCCCTAGTGGCAATCAAAGAAGTAATATTTAATTCAGTTCTAGACCTGTGTGAAAGATGTAGAGTTGAATTACTTCCGTAATCTCAATCTCTGGTGATTATCCACTCCCGTGCGACAAACACTCAATAAGAACAAGAAACGGCATTCGTTAATTCCTAATTACCACCATCTCCCGAACTGGCAATAATTATTAATTAAATTCCCTAACAAAATTGCCCTTTTCCCAAGGCGCAACTGTCAAGTGCAAACGAGTGTGCCCTAATTTATGCCTAACTTCCGTTCAGACATGAATATGGCTATATGAAGCAAGCAATTTAGGCCTTTAATTACTAGCAACAACATTCAGATACGCGATTGCAACACAAGTAATAAAAACTGTCATAAGTATATTAAAGAAATTAAGCTCTTGGCACATAAGTTCATAAACACATTCACCCAGAAATCCTTAAGGTGTTTTAGCCACTCATGGCCATAATAACATTCAAATCAAAATCAGGAATAAACAAAACAACGATTGAAGTAAAAGAAAAAGGGAAAGAATTCTCCCAAATCTTCCTAGCGATTTCTCTACTCCAAGGCCGATTGTAGATATTGATCTTGTTCCTCTTGAATTTGCTCTGTTCTTGTCTCCAAAATCGCGGTCTCTGAATTCATATTAGGGTTGAGGAAGGTGAGATTTTATAGCTAGAAGCCTAGAACCAATCCCGGTAGAAATATGAATTTTATGCAAAATTGGACTATAATTGTATCTAGGGCGAAATCGTAATTCTCTTATTTAATTAAGATATTGCCGTCATTAATCATTTGATATTGCTGCCATCATATGATTAGGAAATTATTGCACCCTTGATTTTGGAATTCAATGAAGCCATTTGAAATTTTGGAATTGCAGCCTTTTATTTCATTTAGAACACTGCCGCGCCCTTCTTAATTTCAGCGTCGCTCGCTCGACGCGTCGAGAGTCCCTGGTCTCGTCCGAAACACTGTCGAATTCGTTGTGTATGTGTCATTCGATCTACTTTTAACCCCAAATTTATCCTAGAACTTCCCTTGCTCATAACTTTGACCTACAATGGTTAAAAAACACTAACAAATACCATAAAACATTCAAAACAAGTGTGAACCATAACTAAATAATAAAAACAAGGGATTGTGCAATTAAATACCAAAATTATGGACCCAAGCCTAACAAATATAATTAAATCAATACTAAAAATATGCACAATTGGACTCACATCAACTATGTATGTATGTATGTATGTATGTAGAATTAGGTTCTGGTGCAGTTGACAGCCCCAGGTGCAGTTGTGGGGTTAAATATGAGCCATTGATCTTGCTTAAATCAAGGTCCAGGATTACCAAAACTTAAAAAAAAAAAAAAAAAAAGTGATCGCGGTGGCAATTTGATAATTTTGCATCTAAGTCAAATTTAAGGTGTGTGAGTTTTGTGCTTAAGATGCGTGAGTTTTATGCTTAATGTGCCTGGGTTTGTGCTTAAGGTGCATGAGGTTGTGCTTAAGGTGCGTGAGTTGTGTACTTAATGTGAGTAGTTGTTGAAACTTAAGGTGCGTGAGTTTTGTGCTTAAAGTGCGTGAGTTTTGTGCTTAAGGTGCGTGAGTTTGTGCTTAAAGTGCGTGAGTTTTGTGCTTAATGTGAGTAGTTGTTAAACCTTAAGGTGCGTCGGTTTTGTGCTTAAGGTGTGTGGGTTGTGTGCTTAAGGTGCGTGAGTTCTGTGCTTAATGTGAGCCATTTTAAAATATTAGGTGCGTGGGTTTGTGTTCTTAAGGTGCTTTATTCTATGCTTAAGGTGCGTGATTTATGTACTTAAGGTGAGTAATTTGTGTTCTTAAGGTGCTTTGTTTGTGTGCTT